CTCCTCTCCCCTTTCTCATCCCATTCTCTCCCATTCTCTCATCCTCCTCTCCCCCTTCCCTCCCCCAACTACAACCCCATCATCCCCCCCACCCTAAGCCTTGGTGGAGTCAGCTATGGAAACAGCAAGGGCAACAGCCTTGGCCCTTCGCCTTCCTACTGAAGAACTGCTCGGACTGGCCGGTTTGGCACTACAGATAGTACAATGCGCCCACCCTTATGAATTCTCATGTATATGTTTGGACGCTGGACCCAGTTTCCAGCAGGTGCTGCTCCCCACCAATAGACCGGTGTGACGCCCAACCTCACACCCAACGCGACTTCCTGATCGGAGTCGGATGTGGGCCTGGAAGTGCGAAAAGGGGTGTGCCAAGGATTTTTGGGAAAGTGGGGGTGGAGTCCCAGGTTGGAACTGAGATCTCCTGTGGCAAAGTTTCAGGGGCATAGATGTAATGGAGCTAAGGGGGCGAGTTACTTCCAGTCTGAGGCGTTCAATGTCGTACAACATGAGGTAGATGGCATGCGAGGACCAGCAGCGCAGTGCATTCAAGGCCGTCCGATTCGTCTGTTTTGGTGGCGGCGGTTCGGGGATAGGCCCGCCCGGGATAGTCGCGTTCCCGATGAGTCAGACCTTTGGGTGCAGACACGTGGCGTCTGTCGTCGCGGTTTTTTGTTAGGGCCCCTAGTTTCAGGGGCTCGTCGGTTACAGCATCGCCGACAATTTCCGCAAGGCGTGCGGGGCCAGTACGGGGCGATTGAGTTCCACGGTACCACCATGAGTTGGTGATACGGGAGGAGGAGACGGAAGGGAGGGAAGTTGGTGGTAATGACGACGAAGCCGAGGGATATGAAGTATTGTGTGTTGTCCGAAGTGGGAAAATTGAGGCACCTCGGATCGCTGGTTGTAGCACAGTGAAACTCCCTGGGGCACAATCGATTCTCGGTTAGGCGGGGGAATTCCGGGTATCTTTGCCTAATGCATTCCCTCACCCAAGGGTCAAAGTACTTCGAGTCCCGGGAGCTCGACATCTTATCATTGCGGTGTGATAAAATTCTTCCACACGCGTCTAATTGGCAAGGGGATGTTCCGTCGTGATATCGAGATTCCTTTCCGTTTAGGTGCGAGGGGGAAGGACAATTCTCGTCTGCCTGAAGGCGTCAAGTTCGTTGATGGTCGCGAATCGGCGCGCGTGGATACGTGTAGGCTGCAGAAATCAGATCACGCTTACACGCACCCGCGAGGTATTCGCTTGTTTCTGGGCAAAGAACTACCCAATCATTTAATCACTCTGTGATCCCTCGCGCAATCATTCCTGCGCATACAAGGTGCTACTGCACATCAGGCATCTCAGCAACAACAGTAGATCAAAGAAAACAAACAATAATAGTGACGATTACGTGAAAGTTCCTACTATGCTCACAAGGGTATCAAAAATGGCAAGCGAAGACACGGACAGACAAAGGAAAAGCAAATAGACATAACATTCATTCATCCATTCATTCGACATAACACGCGGTAAATGAGATCGAGACCAATCGCAAAAACGAGTGTGAGCGAAAACCAAGCCAAGATTCCGAAAACAAAAGAAAACAGGCGAATCGCCCTAAGCCGAGATAAAAAATTATATACAAAAGCAAGGAGGGAGACAAGATAAGGAAAATTGCAAACCATGTCCATCAACTTCAGCTCCCTCTTCTTCTTTCGTCCTCTCCGATGCGGACTGTCCGTCGTCACGAACCAACCCACGAAGTCGTCACCCCGCTTAGTCCTCCCGCACCTGTCAAGTTCGCCCGCGCCCACAGTCCGTCGTGGCCCGCGTCAACCCCGCGCGTTCGGCACAAGCTCGTCCGGTCGCCTGACTCCCACTTCAACTCACCTCTTATTTCGCTCGCGAGCCGACCCTCACTGATCGCGCTCCCAGAGCTTCCAACAGCTGGTTAAGAGAGCTATCTAATTGCGCAGCCGGAATTTATAGCGTGCATGCATGCACGAAGAACGCAAAATTGCAAGGACTTAGAAATGAGATTAGGAGAGGAAGCGCTTGCATTCTGCATAGCCAGATCGCGGCGTGGGGGACGTAGCCACTCTCCACACATCGATCCGAGCATGCAGGCTGCGGGCTAACTAGGCACAGCAAAAGGAAAAAGGGAGAGCGGAAAAAACGAAGCTCAAGAAGAAATATACAGTTACAATGACGCCCGCCCAAAATTACAGTTACTTGCAAGATTAAGGGCGCCGACTAATCAGAGCTCCGCTGCAGCCACAAAAAGAAGCGCACAAGAAGGACGACGCGCGGCAAAAGAAATCCCGAATTCCTAAATTCCTAAATTCCTAGCTAATGCAAAAAGAAGCACAAATTCCGAAAATAAAATTCCGAGAGCCATCAAGGGATCGACAAGATTCGAAAAAGAAGTTCAAAAAGAACGAAACAAAATTCCCGCGTGACCTCCGCGCCTAAATCCGACAACAGCACAGAAAAAAAGTGACGTCAACCATTATTAATTGCGCCTGGTCGGCGTGACAGCCACTCAATCGATCATCCCGGGGCTTGCCCGGGCTTGAATCCAGCCATCCGAAAAGAAGCGGCGAAAGAGAAAAGACGAAAAGACGAGGACATTGATGCAATTCTCCCTCATTCCCGATCTCTCGTAATTGGCCCAACCTTCCCAACTTAGGACCCCTCATTGTCATTGCGCAGAAAGTCGAGCGGAACAGAAATCGGTTCGTCACATACGTGATGACGAGGGGGTTCTAATCTTAAGCAAGCTCCTGCTTGCTTGAATCATGACACGTGTCGATTTCTCTAATCGATCGACACGTGGAGCTTTTCGTTGCTACTTACCGTACGAAAAAAGTGTGGACGTTATCGAGTGTGGCATTCGTGGCTCTATTCTACGAATTCCTCAGGAAGGGCTCTTTTCAATCCAAGAAGGGGATTTTTCGTGCCATCACCACGACACAAACTAATCAACCATGCATCAATGTCCTAAGGGAAGGGGAAAGGGAAGACGATACATGGGGGCATGGCGAGGGGGTGGGTTAGTCGCGAGTAGGGGTAGAAAGCGTTCCAATCCCACGACTGTCTCCGGAAGCTCCTGACATCGGTTGATCCGGTGGAAACGCGGGAACCAGGTACCACTATGAGGGAGGGAGGCGAGATAGTCAAGTTAGAGGGTGGCGAAGGTTCGGAAGAGTGCCGTGCGGAATCGATCGTGGTTCTCGCATGCAGGGATAGTCCCCGTAATCATGCAATAAACCTCAACGATATTGTGGCCTCGCCACGCGACACTGAAGAGGAGGGCGTGAAGGCAGAAGTCGGGAAGGGCGCACCGGGTCGAGGGATGGGGGTGAACAGTGACAACAAGGCGGGTGGCGTAGAAAAATCAGAAGGTATCAATCGGGAAGGGATTACGGGGGAAGGTGACGAGGGTGGTGATCTGGCGGAGGGTGAAGTGATCAAGGGGACGACGGGATAAGGACTGGGGACGAAGCCTGATGGCCTGCATCAAGACGGGCTCGAACTGGTGGCCGGTCGGAGGTGGAGGGGGAGGGGGATCGGCTTCGTCGCCGCCTGGCCGGTGCGCTCGAAGTCTCGGCAGCTGGGATCTCTTCTCGTTTACGTGCCGCCTCGATCTTTGGCTAGATCGACGGCGATCGACAGATTCGCTCTGCTTGCGAATTCCAGCTGTCGCTTTCCGGCCGCATCCCCATCTTCGGGCTTGGGCGGCTATGGCTTCCGCCTGAGCGTCCGTTCGTTCCACCTCTTCCGCCGAGATTTCCCACTCGGATTCTTCCAACTCCAACTCTTCCTCTTCCTCGTCTTCCTCTTCTTCTTCGTCGTCCTCACTCTGCTCTCCCTCGCTGTGTTCACTATAACTGCCTTCTTCTGGTGTTTCTTCCTCCTCTTCTTCCTCCTTTGCGCCGTCTTCTTCTTCTTCCGATTCTTCTTCTATCGCTAGCTCCTCGTCTTCGAAGACTGTTCGATCTTGGAAGAAAGCGAGGCCAACTATCCCCCGCGGGTCGATATATCCTCGTTGCGATGGCGGGTTGTTGCCGCTTCTCGGCTCCTCCAGGCACGCTGACCACTGAAGGTACGGCGTCAGAGTTCGTGTGAGGACGTGCGAAACCGGGCTCTGGTCGCTCTGCGAGACGATATCAAGGGGAAGATCGTCAACCAACTACGCGAGAGGAACCGTGAGTTCCTGCACGATCAGTTGGCGATGGTCACGCTGCACCAATCTGAACAGGAATCCAAGAAGATCGCTTTCCACCTCCGTCCGCCAGGCCTGGATGATCAGTAGCTCCTGGTACTCAATCCAAGCGCGGTGTTCCTCGTCCCTTGTCCACGTGAGTCGCACTCCGACCAGGCACACCGAAAGATCGACGAAATGTTCACACCACAACTCCCACTGCCTTGGATCGAGAAGGGGGACAGCGAGCGGTTCCAAGCAGAAGGAGAAGCGAGGGTGAAGACTAGACTGCCAGAAGGTGGGAAAGAGAGATGGTAGAGCAAAGGTGGAGAGTTGAGAGCGGTTTATTAGGGACGTTGAAAGGGGATGAGCTCCGGAAGCACCACCGCCGGCTCGTGCTGGGACGCTCGAATCCCACCGAGTTTGATGCCGTCCGTAGGGACAAGATTGTCCCCATGGCGCGTGAGCCAGTGGTTCCACTCCGCGGCCAACTGCTGACCCCACTCCCTTAGTGACGTCCGGATTGCCGCATGTCGCAGCGGGCTGATCGCGCTGATATCGCCGCTGAAGGAGACAACGGTAGACACGTGGCTAACCCCCGGGGCTGACAGCCGATGAACAGCTACCGCTTTTGCCAACACAACCACCTGACGATTGCTCGCAAATCGGAACTCTGCTTGCGCGTATACCCCTGTGGTACAAAAGAACTGAGCAAGCCGTAGAAGATCTGGACTGAAGCGCGGATGATGAACTTGCCGGATTGTCGAGATGTAACCACGTGGCGCCAGCAGGTGATCACCGAGGGCTCGCTCAGTGAGAAAACTCATGGCGATGGTGAGGAGGTATGAGAGGGGGTGGGAGATGTAGGAGGAGACGAAGGCGATAGAGAATCGTCGTCTTCTTTTGAAGCGAAGGAGGAAGAAGACGCTGCTCGAGATGAGGAGGAAGGGAGGGGACGTAGATAGGACACGTGGCGTACGATCGCCCGAGCCGATCGACTCCCTGAGACCTTTGGCACGAGGCGCACCGTGTTCACCCCGTTCGGGCCGAGCTCGATCACGTGAAATCGCCCGAAGAATCGTGGCGCTATCTTCCCTTGGCGAGCACATTTTCTCACCTGCACCAAGTTCCCTTATTTATACTGGGGCCGCGGACCCGTGTTCCCGTTCCGGTCCTCGTAACTGCGAACCTGTCGGCCGTGGGCCAACTCGGTCATTTTTTGGCGTTTTCGGGCTAATCGAGGCAGGGACCTTTCCATCAGTTTCATGTGTCGCTTGGCCTTGTCCTGAACTGTGGCTCTCGTAGGCCGTCGGTTCAACGAGGACTCATCCGGGAGGCTCGATATTGAAACGCAGGCCGCACTATTGGTCCGTAACTGGAACGGGCTTAGGCCCATCGATTCGTGAGGCGTTCCACGATGGACCGCCAAGATGTGATCTACGATATCGGGCCAGGGCCTCGGATCTTGTGCCGCGATATTTCGTCGGAGCGCAGCCTTTATCACTCGATTTGCGTTTTCTACAAGGCCGTTAGATTGCGACATGTAGGGCGCAGTGTTCCGAATCGCGACGCTGTGTACGACCAGATTCCTCAAGACTTCTCCCCTGAATTCTACCCCATTATCGGTCAAAATTTCCTCCGTGTCCTGGTGCATTCCTAAAAACCGGTTGACGTAGCGCGCAATTTCGGTTGCCTATCGCGTTCGACACGGATATGCCTCGATCCATTTCGAAAAATGGTCCGCGAACACCAGTAGGATTGAATACTCGCAGCTATTAGGTCCAGGGGGCACCACTATATCGGTAGCATCCATGCTAACCCTTTGAAACGACCGTGCAACTACCGTCGGTACTATCGATCTTGGCAGCTGAATCGACGCCTTGTCAGCAGCGCAGACTTGACAGTTCGCGACGATGAACTTCATGTCGTCACAAATATTGGACCAATACCATTCGTTCTTATTGATTGCCGCTTACGTGATCCGTACGGCGAAATGGGCTGCAATTTCCTCATGCACCGTCTAAACCCAGTCATACTTGCGTCACCCATTGCCAATCGCCTGCTTCTTGCCACGTGGAAGGACTGCCACTTGTCCGTACTTGCGTCCGTTTGCTGACTCTGGTTCCTTCCACGAAATGATTTCTTCCCCCTTCGATACCTTAGCGGGGTGATGCAAACGTGTCAACCCGTCCGCATTGCCGTGCCTCTTTGTCTTTCGGTGGATGATGTCGAAGTCTTATTCCTGTAGGCGCACAACCCACGGCCCGATCCTCCAATTATACCCGTGTAATTGGTGAGCTCTGAGAGCCAATAATGGCCCGTGATCGGTTACAAGGAGGAACTTCTGTCCGTACAAGTATGGATGGAAGTGTTGAATTCCCCAGACTACAGCATAGCATTCACCTTGTGGGGCTGAGTCGTTCCTTCGTTCGTCTGGCACCGTACGAGACGAGTACTCGATGACGTGCTCTCGACCGTCACTCCCTTTCTGCGCTAAGATAGCGGAAATAACCTCTGGCTGCCAGTCCGTGATGAGAATGAGCTGCTTCGTAGGGTTCGGCCGGATCAAAATAGGTGTCGTCACTAGAGCGCCCTTGAGGGTGGCGAAGGCCTGTTCGCACTTTGCGTCCCAATTGTGGGGCTGGTCCTTTCGCAGCAGATTCGACAGAGGTCGCGCAATCGCAGCGAAGCCCTTGATAAAACGACGGTAGTACAATGCCAGTCCCAGGAAAGCTCAAACTTGTGTCACTGACGTAGGGACATGAGCATCTTTCACCGTCGCGACTTTCCTTGAATCTTGCCGCAGTCCTCCACGTGTCACCACGTAACCTAAGAACGAGATTTCAAGTTCCGAAAGGAAAACCTCACTCTTCTCAAGCGTGATTTTGAACCCAGCGTCGCTCAGAGCTCCCAGCGTCCACTCGATGTGCTGTGCATGCCTGTGATAACACAAAAGTTAATCATCCCCTGAGTGAGCCGCGTCTTGTTGACGAAGTTCTGAAATGTCACGTTCATCGCCCGCTGAAACGTGGCAGGCGCGTTGCAAATACCCATCGGACATCGGACCCACTGCCACGTGCCCTCAAACAATACAAAGGCCGTCTTCGGCCGATCTTCCTTATTAGCCAGAATGTGATGAAAACCGTGCCGAATATCAAACTAACTGAAGTAATTAACACATCAATCGCATCCAGCAAATCATCAATCTTGGGAAGGGGATACACATCTTTGATCGTGATGTCATTCAACTTGCGACAATCAATACATATGCGAATCGATCCATTATTTTTCGGCACCAACACTACCGGGAATGGCCATGGCCCAGTGGCGGGCCCGGGTTCGATCCACCCATTAGCTTCAAATTCTCGAATCCGCTCGAGGGCCGGTTTTTGTTCTGCCAACGAATATCTGTAGGGCTTGCAGTGAATCGGGGGATGGTTTTCGGACTGAATTTCGTATTGTATGACCAACGACAGTCCGATGTCGGTGTCTGTCACATTAATCGCTCCCTTGTACTCTTTTAGAATATCCGCGATCAGGTGGTGGCTCTCATTAGGTACGTATCGGGGTACGTGCAACTAATACAACTCATCCCATATCCGTACATCGGTGTGTTTCTTACTTACCCGTTTAGCGTTTTCGGGTGGAGGCGCAAAAATAAACGAGTTGTCCTACCGCCAGGAGAATACCATGGCCATCATCTGCGCATCTTGTTCTCGAATGGCCACGTGTTCTTCCGGGGTTATCCCGTCTCGAATGTCTTACCACGACACAGGTTTCGTTGCGATCCTGATTCCGCGTCCGGTGTCAATGCGCTCAGGGGGTTCCAAAGAATTGCTCTCCGCCCCTAAGCGTAATAATCTTATCTCTTTTGCGGGCGTCAAAAGAGATCGCGGAAGATTCGTGATGTCGTAATAATGTTTTTTGTCCTCATATCGTGCAAGCGGAGGCGAGATTCCTTCGTACACGGTTCGAGGGGGTTCCAAACAATCGACCATCCTCGAAATCTGTACGAGAGGTTCTCCCATAATCATTGCCTGCGTTCTCTGTAGATCTGGGTTAGTCCGGCTCAGGGTTTTTGCGTTTGTTTGCAGCGCGAGATAATGGATACGTTGCTGCGTCATTTCTAGAATTAATGGGTCATCATCATCACTGCTGTCTGCGTCTTTGGATGTCTGCCCATTGTCCCAGGTAATCAGCGAAGGGTCCCCGTCATAATGAGAGAAACTCGCGGGGTTATGTTAGCGGTAGTACGAAGGGTCAGCCTCATTGGTATGACATAGGGCTTCCCTCCCGTATTTCGGAGGACGATCGATCGTATTTCGAAATCCACATTGGCTCGTAAGGCCATAAGGGCGGGAAGGCCGAAAAGGACGTCGTACGTGTTTACGTCAAAGACTACAACATCTCCCAAAACATGTACCTTCCCTAATCGAAAAGCAACATTGGTCATCCGTCCCACCGTTTTGATCTTCTCCTCATCTGCTGACACGAGCTGATCTTTTTCCGTAAGCATGATTAGATCGTTCTTTCTACCTGCTTTTTCAACTACCCGTAACGAGATAGCCAAAATAGTGACTCATAAGCCGATAATGGCATTGTATGAGATTCCCCATATCTCAATATCACATTCGGCGGATTTCCATAGGATTGGTTTAATCCGTAGGAAGTGATCATCTTTCTGGATCAATCCTAATCGTATCGGGTCTGAAGTTCCTGCTGCATTTTCATCTGGCATGGGATTTTTTGTTTTTTTGCTCGTTGTTCGGACAAGGGCGAATCGTTTTCGATTTGCCTTGCAGTGTTGCAACATTCGTTCGTTAGCTTGTTCTGATATCGAGAGTAGGTGACCGATCGAAAGAGGAATCCGATGGTGCAAGGCTCGAACGATGTTTAGAACATCGATGTCCCCCGTGACGAAAGTGGGTCCTCCCCGACTCCATTTCTCCTGGAGAAGGTTGCCATTCCGCCACTTCTTTTTGTTCTGGCGCGGGTCTAATCGTTCCAATCATCCCAAGTCCTGGGTAGCCAAGCGTTACATACTGATCCAACGGGATTAGTTCGACGGCTTCTTCCATCGTAGCCAATGTGCTTCCGCCTCCATCCATTTCTTCCATCAATGCCCCTACTCATTCGGGTCCATTGGCGATCGGGGCCGCTGCTACCGTGACCGGTGCGGCTCCGACTCGTTGCTGTGGGGGTCGATGCGGGCAATTTCGGGCTATATGCCCTGGTTGGTGACACGTGTAACAGACGTTCAGATTGCCAGGGATCCCTGCAGGAGGGGGTGTTGGGGCCAATCCGTGTCGAATCGGGGCGGCACGCACCACTATTGGACGCATCGACCGCATCATTGCTTCTATTCGAGCATTGTGTTCCCGCTGTTCCTTTTTGCTTTCTTGAATCAGAGTAACCAATGTCTTGGTTAGTTATAATAGGGCGGAAGACTCATTCGGTCGTGCGGGGGTTTCAATTGGTGGCGGGGGTGCTGTCATCATGGGCACGGGAACGCTCGTAATCACACTCGGGACCGGTCGTTTGGGACCAATCTGTTCCAGATAGGTGACAGGGCCCGGCACAAACCCCACATTTTCAAATTTGTTCTGCAGGGCAGCTAACTCAGCTTTAACTCTCGCTAGTTCGGGCGAGTCTCCTTCCCTAGGATAGTCTTCTCCCTCCAGGAAACTCACAACGAACTTTCGTTCCATTTGTTCCGCGGATGCCATGATCTGTTGCAGCGTGTGATTGATGGGTGAAAACTGCTTTCGCAGTTTCGCCCTCATCGTTCGGCTGCGAAGTCCATCAATGAACAAATCTCTGACCCCCTTGTTCACCTCGTTCTGTTTTCAGAAATATCCTATAGAATCAGTTTCGATACTCGGTAACAGATTCGAGGGGTTTTTGAACTCGATCTTTGATCATAAAGAGAGCCTGTTCTGGGTGGATGTAATCGAATCGGTTCAAAAAATCTCGCCCGAATGTCGGGAGATCGACCCATATATAGGTACTAAACCAGTGATGGGCATTTCCTCCCAATCGTGCAGGGATGTTCACTTATGCCTCGTTATCATCGTACTGTTGAGCTCGGAGCGTGGCTAGCCATGCCCCAGCGAGGTGATGAGCAGGATCGAATAGATAAAGATCGGGTGGCGTCATGGGAGCCCTTGCTCGTGGTACGGGTTGATTAGGATTCTGCTGGGGGTTCGGGTTTTGTTGGGGGTTCTGCTGATTAGCATTCAAATTGACCGTCCGTCGAGCCGCATACCGGCTTCTGGTGACGACGGGATCCCATCGGTGCGCGTTCCGGGGTCGAGGTCGCCCCCTGTTAGCCAGATCGCCCAGATATGAGTCCTAGAACCCTACCATGTGTCGGGCTCCGATACCAACCTCACGCCCAACGCGACTTCCTGATCGGAGTGGGATGTGGGCCTGGAAGTGCGAAAAGGGGTGTGCCAAGGATTTTTGGGAAAGTGGGGGTGGAGTCCCCGGTCGGAACTGAGATCTCATATGGCAAATTTTCAGGGGCATAGATGCAATGGAGCTAAGGGGGCGAGTTACTTCCAGTCCGAGGCGATTGATGTCATGCAGCATGAGGCAGATAGCATGCGTGGTGCATTCAAGGCCGTCCGATTCGTCTGTTTTGGTGGCGGCGGTTCGGGGATAGGCTCACCCGGGATAGTCACGTTTCCGATGAGTCAGACCTTTGGGTGCCGACACGTGGCGTCTGTCGTCGCGCGTTTTTGTTAGGCCCCCTAGTTTCAAGGGCTCGTCGATTGCCGCGTCACTGACAAATTCTGCAAGGCGTGCGGGGCCAGTACGGGGCGATGGAGTTCCACGGTACCACCATGAGTTGGTGATACGGGAGGAGGAGACGGAAGGGAGGGAAGTTGGTGGTAATGACGACGAAGCCTGGGGATATAAAGTATTAAGTGTTGTCAAAAGTGAGAAAATCGGGGCACCTCGGATCGCTGGTTGTAGCACAGTGAAACTCCCTGGGGCACAATCGATTCTCGATTAGGCAGGGGAATTCCGGGTATCTTTGCCTAATGCATTCCCTCAGCCAAGGGTCAAAGTACTCTGAGTCCCAGGAGCTCGGCATCTTATCATTGCGGTGTGATAAAATTCTTCGGCACGCGTATAATCGGAAAGTGGATCCTTTCCGTTTAGGTGCGAGGGGGAAGGACAATTCCCGTCTGCCTGAAGGCGTCAAGTTTGTCGATGGTTGCGAATCGGTGCGTGTGGATACGTGTAGGCTGCGCAGATCAGATCGCGCTTACACGCACCCCCGCGAGGTATTCGCTTGTTTCTAGGCAAACAACTACCCAATCATTTAATCACTCCGTGATCCCGCGGGCAATCATTCCTGTGCATACAAGGTGCTACTGCACAACAGGCATCGCATCAACAACAGTAGATCAAAGAAAACAAACAGCAATAGTGACGACTACGCGAAAGTTCCTACTATGCTCACAAGGGTATCAAAAATGGCAAGCGAAGGCACGGACATACAAAGGAAAAACAAACAGACATAACATTCATTCATCCATTCATTCGACATAACACGCGGTAAACGAGATCGAGACCAATCGCAAAAACGAGTGTGGGCGGAAACCAAGCCAAGATTCTGAAAAAAAAAGAAAACGGGCGAATCGCCCCGAGCCGAGATCAAAATTTATATACAAAAGCAAGGAGGGAGACAAGATAAGGAAAATTGCAAACCACGTCCATCAACCTCAGCTCCCTCTTCTTCTTTCTTCCTCTCCGATGCGGACTGTCCGTCGTCACGCACCAACCCACAAAGTCGTCACCCCGCTTAGTCCTCCCGCACCCGTCAGGTTCGCCCGCGCCCACAGTCCGCCGTGGCCCACGTCAACCCCGCGCGTTCGGCACCAGCTCGTCGGGAATTTATAGCGTGCATGCATGCGCGAAGAACGCGGAATTGCAAGGACTTAGAAAGGAGATTAGGAGAGGGAGCGCCTGCGTTCTGCATGGCCAGATCGCGGCGTGGGGGACGTAGCCACTCTCCACGCATCGATCCGAGCATGCAGGCCTCGGGCTAACTAGGAACAGCAAAAGGAACAAGGGAGAGCGGGAAAGACTAAGCTCAAGAAGAAAGATACAGTTACAATGGCGCCCGCCCAAAATTACAGTTACTTGCAAGATTAAGGGCGCCGACTAATCAGAGCTCCGCTGCAGCCGCAAAAAGAAGCGCGCAAGAAGGACGACGCGCGGCAAAAGGAATCCCGAATTCCTAAATTCCTAGCTAATGCAAAAGAAGCACAAATTCCAAAAAGAAAATCCGAAGTTCCGAGGGCCGTCAAGGGCTCGACAAGATTCGAAAAAGAAGTTCAAAAAGAACGAAACAAAATTCCCGCACGACCTCCGCGCCTAAATCCGACAACAGCACAGAAAAGAAGCGACGTCAACCATTATTAATTGCGCCTGGTCGGCTCGACAGCCACTCAATCGATCATCCCGGGGCTTGCCCGGGCCTGAATCCAGCCATCCGAAAAGAAGCGGCGAAAGAGAAAAGACGAAAAGGCGAGGACATTGATGCAATTCTCCCTCAATCCCGATCTCCCGTAATTGGCCCAACCTTCCCAACTTAGGACCCCTCATTGTCATTGCGCAGAAAGTCGCGCGGAACAGAAATCGGTTTGTCACACCGGAGCCATCATAAAATATGGTGCCCCTACTCACAAAGGATGCTCATATCATCTTCCTCAGTAGACTGCCAGCCGATGCTTTTAAAAAAAGAAAAAAGAAAAGAGAAGATGGCTCCACTGCTCCAGTGTATTTGTGGGGAGTTGCACCTCCAGGAAGCCGGGCCCAGCATCCCAAAATGAGCATTTTGATGTGACAGGCGGGCAGCATTGATTGCCCTCTCCTGGAGGGGATTAACTGCCTAGATGTTGTAGTAGAGTCAGACCCCTTATGGAGCTTAGTGACATCTATACTCCTTATGAAGGCCCACATGAGGCCCGGCTGAGCAGTGGGACCCGGGACGGGCAGGGGACAGGTAAAAAGTGCTGGAGGCAGGCGTGGCCTGTTGTTTCGCGTTGTCTTTTGCTTTTTTGCCCTGTGCTTGTTGGAGTGCCGTGATCTAGTCTTCTTCTTTTTTTTTCCTTTTCTTAAAAAAAAAAGGAAAAAAATGGTGGTGGTATGAGCTCCCACCACTAGCAGCCTCGCATCGGGCTCCAGTCTATTGGTGGGGAGCTGCACCTGCTGGAAAACGGGTCCAGCATCCCTTATACAATGACATTAATAGTTTATGAGCCAAGTGTGGTGAGTATTGGAGTAAAGGCTGCCTCTTCCCGATACTCGTGATACAACTAGCAGCCCCACCTCCTATATTCCGACTATCCCAAGGAGACACCTTTGGAAGTCAAATCCCGCTGTTCGAGGAGGGCCAGACGTGCTGTACTGGTGGGAGTGATGTGATCTGTGTGGCAGCCATGCTGCACTTGTGAGAGTGATGTGAGCCATGGGGGGTGTCTGCTGTACTTGTGGAAGTGATGTAAATCTGTGGGGCACACATGCTGTACTGGTGGGAGTAACATGATCTGTGAGGCGGGTGTGCTGTACTT